AGCATTCTCCCTAGGTCTTCCGTGATGTCGATAGGCTTTCGTGAAGCTTTTGCGTTAAAAGTTTTCCAGGAAAACCTAAAGGTTTGTGGAAGCTTCCCCAAAATGATATAACTATCGTGTCCGTTTTCCTTTCACCTAGCTTCGCAGGGGATTTCCCCAAAGTTCCCCAGGTCTGCGGAAATTTTGGGTTTTTTTTTCTCATTTCCCCAAAATTTATTATAGCGGCTTCCCCAAAATTTCCCAAAAATGGACTAAATTTTCCCCAAAGTTGGGAGCCTGGGGCAGTATTCAGTATGAATTCATACTGAAGACAACAGGCAGTTGTTCATAGAAACACAGTTTACAGTACAACAAACGTTTCTCCAGTAAAATCATGCACTGACAGTCTATTTGGAAACAATCAACTATGTGAATAAACTCACTATGACTTGAGATATCATCCGAGCGTGCAATGGTCGTACAGTGTAACGCAGTCGGACGTGGCAAATAAAAAGTAAAAACAGAGCAAAATTAACTACATAATCTAGTTATTTAATTAAAAATACATTATGAAATGACAAAATCTGTGGTTACTTGAAAGCACAGATGACCCTGTGCGATACATTAAGTTTACACGGTTGCGTTGAGGATAAGATCACCCCAATTGGTAGGAGCTTAAGGGCTGCTGCCGGTCCCAAGCCCGGGTAAAGGAGGAGGGTTGGGCATGGGGTTAGCGTCCCCATCCCGTAGAAAACTAACTCGCTAAAAAAACGCTTACCAGAAAAAATAATCAAAACCATTTTAACTCTGCCCTGGGAGTTAGAAGGTCTTCATTTAGAAGAATTATGACGCTTCATGGTGAAAGCCGAGTTCCTTCGGAAGCCACGAGGCCGATGCCCCTTCTAACAACCAGAGCAAAAATTTTTATAGGTACATGGAACGTTCGAACAATGTGGGAAACCGGGAAGACCAGTCAAATATCAATGGAAATGAGGAGATACAACTTAGCAGTACTGGGAATAAGCGAAACCCACTGGACCCAAGCTGGACAGAAAAGGCTAGCTACGGGAGAGATGCTGCTATACTCCGGTCACGAAGAGGACAATGCTCCACACACTCAGGGAGTCGCTCTTATGCTGTCCAAAGTAGCACGAAATGCACTTGTAGGATGGGAATCTCATGGATCCAGAATCATCAAAGCATCATTCAAAACAAAGAAGGAGGGGATCTTAATGAATATTATCCAATGTTATGCACCCACCAATGATAGCAACGACGAAATTAAAGATCAGTTCTACGAGCGGCTGCAGTCAGTGATAGAGAAATGCCCAAAAAAGGACCTCACCATTCTAATGGGAGATCTAAATGCCAAAGTCGGAATAGACAACACTGGATATGAAGATATTATGGGACGACATGGACTGGGAGGAAGAAACGAAAATGGAGAAAGATTTGCAAATCTATGCGCATTCAACAAATTGGTCATAGGAGGCACAATATTTCCACACAAGCGTATACACAAGGCTACATGGATCTCACCGGACCACACTACAGAGAACCAAATAGATCATATTTGCATCAACAAAAAATTCCGAAGGACAATGGAAGATGTGAGAACCAGGAGAGGTGCTGACGTAGCTTCAGATCACCACCTAGTTGTAGCCAATTTGAAACTGAAGCTAAAAAAGAACTGGACAAGTGGACAAACAGCAATACAAAGGTTCAATACAGCCTTCCTTCGAGATACTGTCAAACTCAATGAATTCAAGATAGCTCTCAACAACAGGTTCCAAGCCTTACGAGATCTACTGAAAGAAGAAGAAACTACTATGGAGGACAACTGGAAAGGAATCAAGGAAGCATTAACTTCAACGTGTCAAGAGGTTCTCGGTCTAAAGAAATACCATCATAAGGAATGGATCTCTACAGAAACAGTGGACAAGATCAAAGAAAGGAAGAACAAGAAGGCAGCAATAAACAACAGCCGAACACGAGCAGAGAAAGTCCAAGCACAAGCTGAATACATAGAAGCAAACAAACAAATGAAGAGGAGCATTAGAGCCGACAAGAAGAAATACGTTGAAGAACTAGCAACGACGGCAGAAAAAGCTGCTAGAGAAGGAAACATGAAACAGCTTTACGATACAACGAGGAAACTATCAGGGAAATACAGTAAACCAGAGAGGCCGGTCAAAGACAAAGAAGGCAAGCCAATCACCGAAATTCAACAACAGCGTAACAGATGGGTAGAATACTTCGAGGAACTCCTGAATAGGCCGGCTCCAATGAATCCAGTGGACATCGAAGCAGCACACATAGATCTTCCTATAGATGTCAATCCACCAACTACGGAAGAAATTAGAATGGCCGTCAGACAAATCAAGAACGGGAAAGCAGCAGGACCCGACAACATACCAGCTGAAGCACTGAAATCAGACATCGAAACAACCACAAGCATGCTTTATCTTCTATTCAAAAAGATTTGGGAGGAGGAACAAGTGCCGATGGACTGGAAAAAAGGACACCTCGTCAAGATTCCAAAGAAAGGAGATCTGAGCAAATGTGAAAACTACAGAGGCATAACACTACTGTCAATACCAGGGAAAGTCTTCAACAGAGTGTTGCTGAACCGGATGAAGGATGCAGTAGACGCCCAACTTCGAGATCAACAAGCTGGATTCCGTAAGGATCGGTCGTGCACAGACCAAATTGCAACACTACGGATCATCGTCGAACAATCAGTTGAGTGGAACTCATCATTATACATCAACTTCATTGATTATGAAAAGGCATTCGACAGTGTAGACAGGAGGACGTTATGGAAACTTCTTCGACACTACGGAATTCCTGAGAAGATTGTCAATATAATCCAGAACTCATACGACGGACTACAGTGCAAAGTAGTGCATGGAGGACAGCTGACAGATGCATTCCAAGTAAAGACCGGAGTCAGACAAGGCTGTTTACTCTCTCCCTTCCTCTTTCTTCTGGTGGTCGACTGGATTATGAAGACCTCGACATCTGAAGGAAAACACGGAATACAATGGACAGCTCAGAATCAATTAGACGATTTGGACTTCGCAGATGACCTAGCCCTCCTATCACGTACACACGAACAGATGCAGATGAAGACAGCCAGTGTAGCAGCAGTCTCTGCATCAGTAGGCCTCAGCATACACAAAGGAAAAACTAAGGTCCTCAAATTCAAAGCGGAGAACAGCAATCCAATCACTCTTGATGGCGAAACTCTGGAAGATGTAGAATCCTTCACATATCTGGGAAGCATCATCGATGAACAAGGAGGCTCAGATGCAGACGTAAAGGCGAGGATCGGCAAAGCAAGGGTCGCATTCCTACAATTGAAGAACATATGGAACTCAAAACAACTTTCAACCAATATCAAAGTGAGAATCTTCAATACGAACGTCAAGGCAGTTCTACTGTATGGAGCTGAAACTTGGAGAACTACAACAACCACAATCAAGAAAGTACAAGTATTTATAAATAGCTGTCTTCGCAAGATACTCAACATCTATTGGCCGGATACCATCAGCAACAGCCTTCTGTGGGAGAGAACAAACCAACTTCCAGCTGAAGAAGAAATTAGGAAAAGACGATGGAAATGGATAGGACATACATTACGCAAATCGTCAAACTGCATCACGAGGCAAGCCCTAACTTGGAATCCTGAGGGGAAGCGAAAAAGAGGAAGGCCAAAGAACACATTGCGTCGGATAATAGAAGCAGATATGAAAACGATGAATTACAACTGGACGGAGCTAGAAAGGATTGCCCAGGACAGGGTTGGATGGAGAACGCTGGTGAGCGGCCTATGCCCCTTCACGAGGAGTAACAGGCGTAAGTAAGTAAGTAAGGGCATGACTGATAGTGAATGAATAATAGAAGCAGGGAAACCATGTGTTTCATCATCTGAGAGTCCGTTATATTCATGACTAGTCTGGATATTAGATGGTCTGTAATAAAAGTCCTTAGTGCTGGGTGAGAATTATTACCCATATCGTGAAGTGATTTGAGTGACTGAACTTTACATTCATTTTAGTGAAGTAGTAGTTCATTGGGATGTTTTCTAAGATGCACGATCTCACACTTGTCGTGGTTAGATGGCAGTTGAAATTTTCGCCACAGATGATAAGGTTCTTAGGGCTACTTTGAATCTGGGACACACTTTCACCTAGAGCCATAGGCTTAAACATGTATACTGTTTTCAGATCATTGGCGTATAAGTATGGTCTCTCAAATTTTATGATGGAATCATTTCTGCAAAGTGATACAGAGATAAATAGGTGTAGCATATGTGAAGTGCCTTTACTCGTAGTCCGGTCTCATTTGGATCTTTGGGTGACAGTAAGTCATGATCTCAAGACCACGGCCAACTGTCGGGAGATTGCAGCCAAGGGGTTAAGAGCCATATAGGCTTTGATACGGACATTTACTCATTTAATTAATACCGTATTCACCATAGAATACACAACCTTAGTGAAAACTAAGCTAGAAAACTGCGTTCAATTTGCAAGCCCCTTCTTAATTGATGACTCGGATACCTTGAAAAACGTACAGAAGGCAGCTACCCGTGCAACTTTAGAACTCCAAGGTTTACCATAAGGGGAAAAGCTAAACCTTTTTACTCTATCCTACCGCAACTTGAGGTGATCTGATTTTGTTGTATGGAATATCAATAAATGATTATGAATCCAATATATACTCCCTTTTTATTCCCCCTAGATCTGGACATCTCAGAGGACAGCGGGGAATCAAAAAATCTAATAACGGACAAAAATGCCCGTGGCGTTAAGGTTTTCACACTGAGTCATCAATTCTTGGAGTCTGTTACCCGAAGCAGTGATGTTCGCCTCTTCACTTGACTCATTCAAGGAAATATTAGACACTCTCGGAAGCTCACTACAACAAAGAATGGCAAAAAACGCAGGCTTTCTGTTCTCAATACAGAAATACAAAAGCTCCTTTTATCTCTTTCAGGACCTTTTTAACCATTCCAACTTCAAGGTCGTTGCTAGTCTAGCTTTCAACAATGATGACCCAGACACCAGTCTTATTACTTATTTGCTTCATAACAAATTTTATTCAGTCAACTGTGAACGGTACTCACCATTCATAAAGTTTTGTTATGTCTAAAGATAGAGCATGCTTGTGTGATATCAGGGCATTGGTTTGTGACAAGTTCTGTCAATGTGACGCAGACTGCTTTAGTGATAAAAATAACTCGTTTTCCTCCTACATCTCTTTACAGAGGTAACTAACATCTTAACCTAATTTTGTAGAGAATCTTATGGTTCGAAATGGTGCATTCCAAAGGCACTTCATTTTTTATCAAATGCAGAATTTACTAGGAGTCAGGACAGTGAAACTATTTGTTTTTCCGATATAAACTGTAAGAATTACAGTAAATTATAAATATAAGATTTGAGAGGGAACTACCTGCAGTTAAGTCGCGGTGCTGGTCAGTTTGGGATGAATTCTATTTCAGTGACTACTTTAAATTCGATAAACGGTTGTGTAATGTATTAAGTTCATAAGATATTTAGCTACTGTTTTCTTATAGGCAGAAGACGATTTATGCTTAATCTATAGAAACAAGATACTTGAACGTTTCACATTACCGAGTGGTTCGGGATGTCACGTAGAATTTTCCCCAAGTAAGCCCTTTTTATCTTCCATGTGCTAGGGACATTTTCGTATATTTCGTGTATTTGTTGAACTCTTTTTGACTCATATTTTTTGGTTTTGAACCGCTGGAGAAACCTAAGCTCTATCCCTGCTTTTCTGACTTGAAAATTCCAATTACTCGAGTTACCCGGTGTTGGCTCTTAGGTTAGTTTGTTCCTCACCTTAGTTTCAATTTGGAAAGGACAGGAGGCTTGATGGTCTGTGTTAGTCCTGGCAATGGTGGTCTCTCAGTTGATCCAACTTTCTTTTGAAAGAGTCAACGGACGGAGTCTCAACCACGTGCTAAGGTAATGAATTCCACTCGTTGATGATTCGATGGGAAAGTCGATAGTCAACAGACAAGTAATTTGTCCTGGGTTTGTGAACTGATTTGGAGTGTCCTCGTAAATTTTTTCTCTTGCAAGACGAGAAAAACGAGAGCATATGAGGTGCGAATTCATCACTAAGCAATTTGGAAACTGTAATCAAGTCGCCTCTAGTTCTTCGATGTGACAACGGGAATAATTTTAGCTTGGTCATTCGAGCATCATACGGGAGCTTCGCTATTCCGGGAATCAGCTTAGCTACTGTTCTTTGAACCTTCTCCAAAAGCTCACTGTCCTTTTTAGGCAGGGGCTAGCCGCCTGTATGCAGTACTCAAGTTAAGGAAGTACGAACACTGTATGTAGAGTCAAAAGCGGTTTAGCGTCGACATGAATAAAAGCCCTACGTGTTGACCATAAGGTTCTAAAACCTTTGGAGGCTATTGCACGGCAATGTGCATTAGTCTTTAGGTCTTGGCTAACGATGACTTTTGAGTCACTGTGTGTCTGGACAGCAGTTAGCTCAGTGTTATTAATCGTGTATGTGTCTGTATCTTGATGACCAATATGCATTACAATACACTTGGAAGTATTTATTGGCAACTGCCAGGTTTGAGACCATTCAGATAATTTCTCCAGGTCATTTTGGAGTTCTAAGCTATCAGCCTTAATTCGTGTCGCTCTCCATATCTTTACATCGTCAGCATATAGCAAGACCGATGATGATAGGAGACGAGGAAGGTCATTTACATACAAGAAGAATAATGCTGGCCACAACACTGTACCCTGAGGCACCCCACTAAGCACAGTTCCCCAGCTAGATAACTTTGAGTTCACCCGTACTCTTTGTTGGCGCCCAACTAGAAAGTCTTTTATCCACATCAATAGATTGCCTCCAACCCCGACATTTCTTATTTCATATAACAGCCGGTTGTGCGGAACTTCGTCAAAAGCTTTGCTGAAGTCAAAGTATGCTACGTCTACAGATAACTTTGGGTCCTTAAGAGTGTAGCAGCTTTCACGAGCCACCAATAAGTTAGTGAGAAAAGAATAACCTATTCTGAAACTGTGTCGCTTCTCCGAAAGGATCCGGTTTTCATCAACTTACTTAAACAGCTCCTTCCGAATAATCTTTTCTAAGATTTTAACAATCACACTAGATAGGCTAACGGGTCGGTAATTCTCAGGTTTGAGTTTCGTACCTGTTTTGAAGACAGGACTTACTATGGCGTTTTTCCAGTCTTTTGGTAAACGACCCAGGGTTACTGATAGATTAAAGCATATACTTAAGGGGTTCGCGACAAAGTTAGCTGATTCCTTTGGTAGCCTAGGGTGTAGTTCATCGGGCCCCGTGAATTTACCTATGTCAAGCTTACTTATTAGACCAAAGATATCGAGTTCTTTAATGGTCATGCTGTTTAGTGTGTGTATGGGGGGATTTGTATGGACTGATGGGGTATTTCTATGGTACATACATTGCTAAAGTAGTTTGAGAATACTTGAGCCTTACCAAAGTCGTCCTCCACTAATGATGAGGCAGTAGCTTTCTGTAGGTTACTTCGATCGGTGGTTCGAAATTCTGATTAAGAATACGTGTTTTTCTTTGCTCTGCATGACTCAAATTCGATGAGATCCTTGAAATATCACTACTTATCTTCGGAGAGTTGTTCTTGTCATTTATAATCCCTCTGACACTTATAATTAAGCCCGTAAGACCGCCTAATGAGACAAAATTTTTCTAGCTTGACTTCGTCACGCGTGTATGCAAATTGTAAATTATCGATGATTCCTATCCTCATAGTACCAGCGACTGAAAATTTACCACGTGGAAAGATGAACTCATAGAATTTTAACCTTGGTATATCTCAAGCCTAGATACTTTTGTAAAAACCTCTGTCCAGTATTTCTGTGGAAACTATGTTGTTTGTTGATCCGAATGCGGCTATTACGTTTTTGAATGAGGGTTTTATTTAGAGATAAGTTAGTAGAATGACTGAAGTGATAATAAGGGGATAGTACTTAGTTTTTTACTAGTATTAAATTTCACCATTAATGTTATCATTTCTAGATAAGACATATAATGTGTTGTCACAACAGGTTTCGCCAGTTATTTTCATGAAAATGTAAGATCGCCACTTATTCTGTAAGAAAATTCAAGGAAAAATATAAATTCATCTACATGCGCCTCAGACTGAAGGATTAATCCTCACTAACTGTATTCGTTTCGTAAAAGTAGGGACTGACGGTTACCTCTGAAGAATTACTAATCAAGTAAATATTTAAAGGGAATATAGTATTAGTATAAATTACTCAGACACAAACATCAAGAATTCATGGTAAAGTTTACCCAGTTACACTATTCTTGACCTATATTGTGTTATTGGTCCAAACATCAAGTATTTCTAAGCATTTGATCACAGATACTTTTTGAGCGCTACAAGAGTTTGTTGGAATCAATCACTGAAAAAATGGTTTTCACCATACAGTTGAATTAAATGATGAAAGATCCTTTATGTCCGAACAAAAAATAAATGAATGATAGCTGCTAGAATTTATTTATGAACTATTATTACATATATAATTATTGGATAAATACTGAGCAACCAGATTATATATATATATATATTCTTAATCTTTTTTATCATAAGCTTTCATTTGGCCCATTGGTTACTGTCACACGATAAACCATTCTCACTTCATTCCCGATCTATTATTTACAGTCTTCAATACTCACAGCCACTTCTTTTTTATTCTGCATAATTATTATTTTTCACCGTATGGTGTGATGTGGTCTGGTCTGCTCGCAAATAGGCTACGCATGTCTGCAATATACGATTCACACAGCAGGGGCTGATAATATGTTGTGGACTGAATAGGCTGTGCTAGTTGAAAAGTTGCTATACAGAGGACCAATAAGCACTCAGCGTTGACCATAGGTTGCTCGTGCTGGTTAATGCATCATTGGTTTAGCACAGGGACAAGGTCTTAAAAATCGGTATTCTGATTGGCAATTTTGCCATTTGATATTCACCGAGCCATAGTACATAACGAGAATTTAAATGATGTGATTAAAAACCAGTTTCATAGCTTTTAGCGTATTTAACCTTCGCAATCTTCGGAATCTTGAGTTCATTTTGAATTGGCAAACTTTCCGTCCCTAAACTTTATTCGACTTTTCCAAGCCGTTTCTTAAATGCTTAGGCCATCATTAGTACCACCACTATTTCTGTATTACAACTTTGCATCTTCTCTTTTTTTGAATGTAAGTTGTGTAAATTCAAGTTAATGCATACCTGTTTATAACCAATTAACTGACCAAAAATGTCTGAATTGTGAGAAATATTTTGAATTATGACTTAAAAATTTATTTTAGAATTCCTAAACAACATAACAACCAAGTGCACTCGCACGTTGAGTTTTAACGATAATGGTTCAAGTTGCACACAACTGCCAAGTGTCTTAATGTACACAGATGGATTAAAGTTTTTACGACTGCCGATATCAAAGCTATTTAAAAACAAGAGCATTCCTTTGGAAGCAGTTATGGCCAGTAATAATACGATTTCAATTCGTTCATCTATTTGTAAGAACTTAAACAATGACGTAATACCCTGTCCAACATCTCCATCCTCACTTGATTCAACCAGCCAAGCGTGTATGTATGCAATCATGGGAGTAAGTTACCAGTCATGATGTGTATTTGCTTCTCATCATTGTTTTTCACAAATGACATATATTTTAAGGTCGAAACTGACTTGCCAATTGTTCTCTGACTACAAAAACTAAAACTCCTTCCTATAAAAATTTCTATATTCTGTAGAAATCTTGGATATTGAATGATTGATATATGTTAAAGTAAAAGATGATGTATCATTCACCTTTCCTTTTCAGTCGTATGCTATATCATGAGCATTTCTGTCCGACAATTTGTTACTTAACTGAATAAAATCGGCGGGAAGTCCTGTATTTGCGTCAATTTGTGTGAATTGACGCTCAATACCTGGGAATCTATTTAATCTTTAGGAGATAGATGTTATGTCCCGATAAGCACAATGAATGGTAACTGTCGTAATCTATTTCTGGACTAATACTATGCGTATATTTTTATTGTATAATTATCAAGTAACTAAACTATTCATATTCGTGTTCCTCTTATCATAAGCCTTATTTCGGCCTATGCACTATTATTATACGATTTACCGTTCTTGAGTTATGTCCAGTCTATCAATTACTATCTCCCTTATTCACAGCCACATTTGGCTAAATCTTCGACAAATGTTGTTCCCCATTTTATGGTACGATGTGGTCTGTTTGGTTTGCATATAAACCCAGTATGTTTGAAATAAATGATTGATATCACAGAGACGGTGTTCTGGACTTAACTGGCTGGGCTAGGCAGGACCGATAAGTACTCTAGACTGCTCGTACGGGTTTTATGCGTCATTGGTCTGGTCGATAATTCGCTGCTCTCTAACTGGCGGTATTATCACGTCATACATTAGCAGGGTGCTCAGGCCACAAGTTATGACAATTGGCGACGGGGTGAAAACGAAAAAACTAAGGACACAAAACCACAAGTTATAACAATAGATGTATTATATAGTGCTTAAATCTGTATCATCCAGAGTTACTGTCAGTGACATCAAAATTGGTATAATTTGGCCGCAATATTCTCCTATAGGGCGAACTAAGTTATCTCTAGATAGCAGTCATTATCGTATCATCTAGATTTTAGTACCGCCGAATTTTCATCTAGTGAGTTTCGTCATGGATACTAGCCAGATCTCATTGGGGAACGAACATCTCTAACGTTTGAGATATCTCTTACTGAACAGTGATGGCTCATACAGCTTCTTACCTTCGTCCGCTCAAAATAAACAACACAATGCATTATCACATCTACTCACTTGGTGTATTGACCAAATTATATCTTGTTCGATAGATTTGATTAGCAATATGAACTAGATAAACAAGACGTCCACCATTGCTGAATGGTTGTGTTATGACAACAAGTGAAATGATCATCCTAGATTATATATTATGTAGTGTGGGAATATTTTTAAACTTTCATAATTTACTCCACCGATTGATTTTAGTTAGAGAACCAGTGAAAACCAGGAAACATTGGACAGCTGTCACATTCTAGTGTGATACTTTTCAAATGTACAACAATCTTGTTCTATAATAGCGTGATATTACTGGTATATTTGTATAAATTATGTATAGTGGAGTAAATTTATAATGCAATTTTTATTTCTATGCTATTTTGTTTTCTAAATCAAGGTGAAGTTTAGTATTATTTATAATGAAAATGGTATAACAGACATCTCAGTTGAATTTACCATTACAAATGTCACAACTACAAAATTTAATCAGTTTCACACAGTACAATTTATTGAAGTAAGTTCTAATGAATATTCTGCTTAAACGTTAATTAATAATTACAATTAAGAATACTGTCTGACTGACAGTAGGTATGAATTATGTTTTATAATCAAGTCTGGCGAGACTATAATTTATAGACGAACCAGTCAGGTATAAGACAACATGTATCGGAATTCGGCGCGAAATTCACTCAAACATTTGGTTAGGTAGAGTCTTAACGTTATAGCTGATGTCAGTTCGTAATGAGAACCCTAAATCTAGTTCCCAACCTTGACCATCAACTGTAAATCATAATTCGAATTCCTCACACTAATTTATAACCCTCATTTGGTCCTAGTTATCAGGTGGACACTCTCAAGGTCAGTCTAGCGTCGCTCAAAGGTCATCCATAAATTGTAGTCTCACCGTCAAGTGAATCATTAAAACTGTATCATTCAATCAATTATTCTTTAAAAGACATCTCATCATGTTTACTGCTATGTACCAATTAAGATGTGCATAAGTATGTCATTTTGAACTTTAAGAAAACCGCTGATTTTGGTGTTCAGTCTTTTAATAACAGTCCATTTTTTGCACTAATAGATTAGTATGGTGAACAGGTGTTATTTGATTATCATTATGTTACCATCTATTAATCAGGATTTCCGTCTGATATAATTTCTCTTATTATGACCTAACTACTCCTATTGCTTACTACTCCTGGATACTACTTCACTTGACAAGTCACCAAATCAGAACACGGTTGAACAGGAACGTACTTATATGTTTCAAAGCTTAATACTTTGGCAAACAAGCTTGAATTTCACTCATATTTTGATGTTAAAAATCGGATAAGATTCGTTAGATAAAACTATGTAAAATTAATTATGAAGATGTAAAATCTACTTTTTGGGATAAAAATAGGTGATTTGATGACTACCAACGATAAGTTTCCAGTTTAGCGTAATTTGGAGGTGACCTCTCTAACAAATTGACATTAACTAGAGAAACATTTAAAACTAAAAATCACCGAAAAGCTGATTTATTCTATCGATGTCATGGCTTCATTTATTTAGATGTCTCCAGGCTAAGGCTCCTCGTTTTTTTTTTCAATAAATTTCCAGTTAACATTGACTTGCTGAGAAAACCATCTTGGTGAAGTTTCGTTCACTGAGCTGGACGGTTTTATCAAGAAGCTTTCAATTTATTTCTAAACATCATCAGCATAAACTTCGCACAGAAGCGGCCTATTTGAATTTCTTCATACATGATTAACAGTTTATTTTGTTCACATAAAAAAAATTATTGGTGAACGAAGGCTTCACAACTAAACCACTCAGCTCAGAAATCAAGGCAACACCATCATCTTTCTAAGCTACAAATCTTCTCTAGAATTAATCCCAAGTTAAAATGATTTAAGTAAAAACAGTGTTATTGTTAAACCTAATGATGTCAGATTTACAGTTTACCGACCCAATCGTTGAGTTTCTGTTATTGTAGAGGAAGAAAGAGAAAGGTGAAATACACTGATTGTAGTCGAATCTTGTTTTCATAGAATGTAAAAGCAGGTTTCAGTATGGTTCCTAACGGAAGGGAAATAAGGGCGAAACTCTGATTTATGGACGACCTTTGAACGAATCTTCAGTGACCTTGAGAAATATTAACCAATCAGCAAACAGTCAGTACAGAGTAAAAATATGTTATACAAAACCAAGGAAATAAAGTGGATACACTTCTTGCACGTGGCTGAAAATCCTGTCAAGATTAGAAAGAGGTTCAGGGGTTCTAAAATCGTAATGCATGCAGTAAAGGAAATCATCCATACGGCTACAGAATAGTCGGCCTCTGGAGCCATGATAAAGTCTCAAAAACTCTTTCAGCCTCGACCACATAGCTTCAATATTGTTTATGTGCGCTCAGATTGTTGAGTGCACAAAATGCTACTTGTGGATAACGACACGATGCACATAACCAAACCTATGTAGGAGTCTGTACACTCTCCAAACATCCGTATATATTGTAGTACCTGGCTGCAGCCAGTGTTACTGGTGCCTTTATTATCCAGTTCGTGATAATTGTCGTAATTTGCCTTAGTTAGGAATTATATATGGGGTTTTCATCACGAACTGACATTAGCCAGAAATTTATTTAGCCAAATGCATGAAAGGCTTTCGTGCCCAAATCCGAGATCTGTTATCTTATAACTGATTGATTCGTCCACAAATTATAGTCTCGCCGTTTTATTTGTTATAGCCGCTCAATTATCACGTTTTGTACAAAACTCCCCGTGAACCGATCGTACTTTAGCATTAAGCACTGAAGTTGGCGCTGTAACCTTGAAATCTCTAAAACGCCTCTGATTGGCTCGTCCATAAATCAGAGCCGCGCCGAAATAAGTTCTTTCTTTGAATAAGTGGTTAATTTTGGCTGTTAAACAATTATACGTTATCTATAGGTTGTGTTCATCGCGAACTCCAAGATTCTTGTTTCTATCTTCAGTGGCGCTGTGGATATGCATTAGTGAATAGTCCTATATTATGACGAAACAGCTATTCGGTGCTGTCTGATTTTCAATAGTTGTTAAACTAATATCAGTTTATCATGTAAATTATAAAGTTTAACAACCTTTACAAATGTCTTACACTAATATTAGTACCTGTCTATTAATTATTTACACTTCCACACTTTGACCAGTAGACTTCGATTAATAGTTAAGACTAGAATATTCTTGTTGAGATATTGACAGTATTAAGTCTTGTATTTTTAATTGGTAATATACAAAATGATAGATTATCTTCCTATTTACCTTGTTTTCGTATTCAGGAAAACAGTTTATCCAATACAAGTACATTAATAGCTACTGACTATCTAAGCGGAAATCTAGGTTACCTAAAAAATTATCCTATTCGAGCTGGTTATATAGAAAATAATAATAATACTACTACTCCATATATAGTAATGATATCATACCCATTAAATCCGACATTATATCCAAATGAATATGGTCGAATTAATTTTGGCTGGTGGCCTATACCGAATATTGGTGATTGTACAAATTTTGCTAGTCAAAGTAAAACAATATTATTTGGACAAAACACTTTTAGTTCCTGTGTGCTAAGGTGATGTTTTTTTCTCTTCTTTATTTATATTTGACATTTCTTATCATAATTTCAACTAAAGGTTTATCATTTTTCTAAAGTTCATAACTGGCATAATAGTTTGTTCATTGAAAACAATCAGCTTATCAACTATCATAGAGAGTAACCACACAAAGCTTGAATTCAATCTTTTAATTTCCTGTAACTTGTTATCCATCAAAACAATATTTTTTCTGTTATAACTTGTGCCCTGTGTTCTATGAATGTATAACGTAATGATACTGCCAATAAGAGAACAGCGAATTATCGACCAGACCAATGACGCATAAAACACGTACGATCAGTCTAGAGTCTTTACCGCTCCTTCTTCCTACCTAACCAAGCCTGCTAAGTTCAGAATATCAATCTCAGCCTCTACGATATGAATCGTTTATTTCAAATATACTGGGTTTATATGCAAACCAGATAGACCACATCAAACCATAAAATAGGAAACAACATTTGTACAAGATGACGCCAAATATGGCTGCGAATGTGGGAGATAGTAATTGATAGATTGGGCATAACCCAAGAACGGTAAATCGTATAATAATAGTTCATAGACCAAAATAAAGCTTATGATAAGAGGAACACGAATATGAATAGTTTAGTTACTTAACAGTTGTACGATAAAAATATACGCATAGTATTAGTCCAGAAATAGATCCCAACAGTTACCATTCATTATTCTCATAGGGATGCAACAATTTCTAATACAAAAGTTGTAACTACTGTCAATAAACGAGTAAATAATGAACTCTTTAAACTGTTAATCTAAATAGGATTACGAACCCCATCAGAACACTTTCCTGTCTTTATGTAAATCACTCAGATGAATTGAACATTTTAATGGAACTAGAGTGAAAAATAACTATTCGACATTGAAAGAAAGTTGAGTAACATGGAGAATTGATCAAAGCTAGAAAGATCAACCAATCAGTGCCGTATCGATGGTCCGATGTCATATGGTGTCATGGATGCGCATTGTTAAAGAGTCTCATATAAAAATGAAAAAGCTGTCTAATCCTTCCCGGTTCTAGGTGGTTGTCTAAGATTTATCTTCAATGTAGATTGAAACAAGTAAATTGTCTAATCCTTTAATAACCACTCATTTGTATTACTACGGTGGTAGAATTTGAAAATCTAGTTCGAGTCACTGAATTTAAACCAGCTACCAGAATATACACCATAAGAAGTATTAATTCACTAACCAATTCAAATATGTCCTATTGATGGGTGTCAGCTCACGCGAAACACCAGATCCAGCACTTTGTAAAAGTGACTTTCAATAGCCAGAAATACTGACAGAAATATTGATAAGAGCCAATAAAATTCCCTGTTGACTAAATATTTGCTGAGGAATTCTAAGCTTTCTTTGAAAACAGAAATAGTAGGATTGCGCCATGACCAAGACTTAACTTCATTATAATAAATTGAGTAGATTATTAACAAGAAAAATATATTTGTCAAGTTCTGATGGGTAGAAAATTGGAAACAACCATGGATTTACAATGTAACCTTTCAGCCCAGTTAACACATCGTTAAAATGCGATCGAGTTTACTATCAGTCAATCAAACGCAGAGTCTGGCACACATATACCTGTTCAAGTTGCCATACCATATCAGTGCAGCAATATGAAATTATAGATAGATCCCATAGTAGTAGAAGTCGTGATATTACCAGTGGTAGTGGGAAAGGTTTGACATAGGCTATAACATCCAAGATAGAATAAATCTCCAGATTACAAATAAGATAATTTGATGATCGAAATCAAGGAAAAGACTAGGAGTGAATGCGTATGGGCCGATCCTGAACTATGTCACCCGAAATCTCTAGCCATTGGTTCCGATGATCATGTGGACACCAACTATGGTAGTTTGGACACTCCAACACGACCCAGTCAAATAATCAATGACTTCACTAAAGATCATGTCCAGCTATTTAACAATCAGTTCGTTGCATAACTTGTGACAATAGGGTTTAATCAATTATTTTATTGATATTTAACAACCAAATAATTTGTAAAGAAAAAGCACCTCTGTTTAACATTGGTGTTCCTTTTGTAGACTAAAGCCATTGCGGGAAAATAATTATACAAATTGTAATGAACTGGAACAAGTCATTAGTATGTCATTAAATTGTAAAAAATCACCTATTACTCATGTCGGTATTTGGGGCAATGCAGACAACAAACAGATAACAGATTGGATTAAAGCGGATGTATTCAATGAAAAAAATAACATTGTTTTTTCGAATGGAACAAAATCTTGGTAAATGAATAAACTTTTATTTTCTGAAAACTAAGTCACACTTTCTTTTTTCCTTCATAGAATTAATTTATTTGTCTTAACAACAATTACTATTACTACTTTCCGTAGGTACGGCATGTGCTTTGCACCTTCGAAGTGCAAAGTAATTTTACAAGACTGGTAAGATCCTAATCCTGCACACACCTTGTGTGATGAGCAGATAGAAGTAGTCGAGAAATTCGTGTATCTAGATAGCTGCATAAGTGCTGGTGGTGGCTTGAGTGATGAGATCAATGCACGTGTAGTGAAAGCCAGAGTGGCTTATGCCAATCTGGGCCATCTTTGGCGCCTTCGTGATGTTAGTTTTGCCGTAAAACGTCGGATTTACAACGCGTCGGTGAGAGCAGTTTTGCTCTATGCTTGTGAAACCTGGTCTCTCCGAGTTGAGGACGTTAGACGACTTTCTGTGTTCGATCATCGTTGATTGCTGACATCCAGTGGCAACATCATGTCAGTAATGCAGAGGTTCGGCATCGTGTGTTCGGGCACAGAGATGATAATTCAATTGTTGTCACCATCTTGAAACACCGACTTCGGTGGCTTGGACATATTCTACGAATGTCGTCCCAGAGAATTCCACGTCGTGCATTATTTGCCGACTCTGGGACTGGTTGGAAGAAGCGAAGAGGTGGTCAGTGTATGACATGGTGTCGTGGTATGAAAGAAAGCTGCAAAGGACTGGCTTGTGTTGGTCCTTCACGACTCCCTGTTTGGGGTCTGAGAGATGGTGCAACACAGTGGCTAGAGACGTTATCAGATATGGCTCAGAATAGAAGCCAGTGGCGATCCTGCTGTAACCTTCTTTTACTTTCTTCATTAAAAAAGTGGTTGTAACTTCCTTAACTGAAGGAATTCTTCTGGTTTCGCCTTTCCGTTTCCCCATTATTATTACTATTACACTACCATACATTAAGCTGTGGTTGTTATTGTTTTTTTTCATTTTACACACCATCTGGTGCCCCCTTGTACCAATATTTATGTGTTCAAATAAAATAAAAGAATAAAACTGACAATAAGACGTGATATGGATATACAACCTCCGTTTACTCTTATGTGATGTCATGGTACTAGACTGAAAAAAAGCTACGAACTACCAAGCCATAATATAACATTAACATGTCGTGTCATTGGCTTTTAAGTTGATTCGTTTCAATGAATCCAAATCAACTCATTAAAATTAAGGCCATTTACATGATAAATGTATTTGAAGATTTTATATGATATGGCTTACAATCGATCACATTAGCACCAGTGCATTCATTTCTTAAATTCTTATACTAGGTTCTAATATTATCTCATACATCGTATTCTTGGATTTCGTTAGTTATTTTCAGGCTTTGTTGCTATTGCTATTGTTTCAGTTTCTTTAATTTTCATTTTATGAATTTCATTGCTTTTTCTCCATTCAAGGAAATAAGAAAAGTGTAGCATGTTAGATTGGGTGAACTAGTCGGGGCGAGCTGGATCTAGGTTTCGTGCTGAATGGGACTCGTCAGTCAAGAGTAACCGTAGTTTTGACAGAACTGATGCTCTTTGTGGGATTCAAACCTGCCTCAATGTGCTTCATGATCTGAAATGTTACTATAGACTCATTCGGGGAGCCACCACTTAATAACAACTGAATATAGTGCATGCGATGTCCAGTCATTTAGGTCGGTAGCCACATTGCAATTTGATCAATAAGATTCGATCAGCACTAAATGTCTAGATGAGCATGACATTGTTCACTGTATTGGTGGTGTTTCGTCTTTTAAGCTGAGTGTTTCAGTCTTCGAGCATTCAATGTTCTTCTGAACAAAATCAACAGAAAAAATTCCGAGTAGGAGTGATTTATCAACCATAACACTGTAGCATAACTAACAATCACTATAACAATAAATATGTTTTTGTAGTATACTAATGGGTAGGAAACTACATTTCTGACGTTTTGCAACGTAATGTAAGCCACTTTACTTTGGAGAAGTGACTTACATTACATTGCAAAGCGTCAGAAATACAATTTTTCCTCACTGAGATATCACAAAAATATATTTATTATTAACTTTCTACCCAATGCTAATTCTATTTGAAACTATCAAGTCCAACCTTAGTATTAATACCTGTTAACAGTGATTTTGTTTCCAAACTATAATCAGACTAAATATCAAGTGATAATAAGGAAGGTTATCCAAAGTGTGAGAAACTCACAAGTGTAATTCTTATTATGACAAGATTCACAAGAAATAATAATCAAAAGTTCGCTGCTACAATCTGGCTTAGTATCAATTAAGGATTGTTTTCGTCCTGAAATGAAATACTTAGAAAGGATAAATTAATGCTAACTAAGAAAACGGTTATCTTCTTCTCACATGAGACTCCATTCCATCATAGAGATATAATCCATTTGAACAACAACAACAAAAATTGGAAAGATTTGAATTTACATCCGAATGGCCCTGATAACGACCACCTTGGTAGATGCTTTCTAATTTTCTACCTTAACACTATCAGATCCAGAAAAAATTCAAATTATAACTGTGACATTGTTATGACGTATGCCACTGTCAATGATCACGTAACAGTATCGCCAATCAAAACAATCACTTATATGACCTGGTCTCTGTGCTAAATCAATGATGAGTTAATCAGCACGAGCAATCCTGTAATCTGGTGTACACTAGCTATCAAATGGTACTAGATATTTGATTTATACCATTCTTTTCTTTAAAACAAGTCTTTGTATGGTTATTTTTTTCAGGTCATGTCAAAATATCATTATAGGTCAAACAATTAACATTTATTATGCCAGGAAAGGTAGTGTATACGATCCACAAAATCGTATTATTTCAGTGCACAAAATTTATAAACGTGGAACTATTGGATATAAAGTAAGACTATTATTATTAGTATACATTACTTTCTTCTGTATAGGACAGTGATTTGTAATATTTATTTGTGGTGCCTATTTTAAATAACTCTACAAATAAACAAACGCAACAGAGTAAAAACCCTAGTAAAATACTACTTGAATTCTCGGCACCATACGTTTCAGCCATCAAACTTAAAATGTTTTTGATAGAGGAATTCATTGGTAACTAGATAAATTTGTCGGTAGTATATTTCCCAAATTGACGATAGTCCACTTCCATTGATGATAACTGACTTACATCCGACAGAGCTTAACTCTACCATACATGACTTCTTGACAGTATTTCTGGAACTCATCTCGAAGTAAGTCCTTGGTGAGCATATTACCAGCTTTAAAGGGGTTGTAAGTCCGCATGGCTGAGTAATCTAATGGCTGTCCAGTAATTTTGTTTCTCAGCAGTAACCCAGTTGAGGCGAATCCGTAAAAAATACTGTTTTAACAGTTACATTCAATCATCCACTTATAATACAATGTAACTAATCACAAAATAGTACCAAGAAATACTCCAAATAAAACAAGATTCCCCCCATATAATGCAGAAAAACGGGTGAATTCGTGTTTAAAGCAAAGATAAGTGATAAACCAACGTAGAAGCACTTCAATTAAAGTTGGAATACTGGCTAGCAGTAGAATAGGGGACGCGCATTTCGTATAATTTGAGAGAAGTCGGGTGGACTTACCTGAATCCCAGCGTATATCTATACGGTAGCTCGAATGCAGTATCTTTCGCTTCAAACGCTCATCGTACCATCGTTTGAGTCCACGTAGCCACTTCCTTATGCTTTGAGTATGAATTTCACTTAAGCTTATATCCCTCCACTATCAATGTCATGACACGCAATTAATCAGTCTCTTTCAGCATATACACATCCTGTGCTGTTACAAGTTTTTAATTAAAGTCACAGTTTTATTTATTTATTTCTTTGAAAACATAAATACTGTTACAAGGGGGCACCAAATACATATGCGCCACACAAATCTCATTTGATTTGTGTGAAGGTTGTGATACTGCTTAGGTGCCCAAACTGAAGCAGATGGTTTTCTTAGAGGGCCACATCCGGAGCCTTCGACCTAAAAGTCTGATCCGCAAAGCAGTGCAGCATCGTAAGGATGCAGTCCGATGATAGCCGGTGACCAACGACTGGTTCATATGCCATTTTCTCCCTCAGGGTACTGGGGCCCATGTGCACCAATGGTTCGGAATCATGGTTTTCCAACTCCCCTGGGTGAATCCACCATATCCACCAACCCGGTTAAAGAGCCGGACATTCACTTTTTGTCCTCTCGATTTTGTAAACAACACCCCCGCCACGAGAAGACAGTGAGTAGGACTTACTTGGCAGTGATTGTGTACGCGTGGCCATATGAGAGCATTTCGAGAGGGAGAGCGAACTCTCCCCACTCTCGACCGTGCCAGGGCAACTACTGTTAGCCACAGTAGTGACTACATGACTCCCATTCCCTTCTATTCGGGACTCGTCAACTGGAAAGATTCCGTAGACTTAAAGGGTATAACTATTTATGAACTCAGACAAAAACTCATTAATGAATATGTTATAAATTCTACCTTTACAATGGACAACATCTTATGTTAAATAAGTATCGAAAATGCATTTCCATAAACAATAACACTGATTCCTTGAAATTCGATAAAATCCTATCCTAAAACATAATGACAAAACGGTCAAAAATTGATTTGTTATTCTCAATTAGATCTTTAATGAATTATCTCTGGCCTGAGAAGTTATACTTGAATATGTTCGTTTCATTCCTCAATATACATTTAATTGGTTAGCTAATGTTTCTATATTCTAATAACTATTCAGCCGTAAAGCAAAACAGCTGTGAAACGTGGCTATTAACAGTTGAAGATACTCGTAAGCTACTAGTATTTGACCACAGATGCCTCAGAAATATTGCTCGCATCTGCTGGGATCATCGGGTAAGTAATAGTAAGGTTAGACGCAGGTTATTAGAGAATGATGGTAAATCAGTTGATGAGGTTGTGAATCTACATCGACTCAGATGGTTGGGCCACGTGTTACCCATGCCTGAACATCGATTACCACGACACACAATCATGACTAGTGTTGGAGATGATTAGAAGGAAGCTAGGGGTGATCAAACCAAAATGTGGCCTCAGTGCTTAAAGTCGCTAATTTATAGCCTTAGCCATGTTGGTAGATGCAGACTACTTGGTTGGGGTCCGCGTGACTATCGTAACCAATGGTTGGAGACTCTTGGTGACATGGCTCAGAATCGGTCACAATGGCGTCGGTGTATACACTCTCTGTCTTCTCTTAAACTAAGAAATTAAGATCGCTTCATATCTTTCTTTCTATGAACTAATTCTTTCTTCCTGTACTATATCCTTATTGCAATCTTTCTTTTATATATTACCACTATTGAATTACCTACTTTTATGAATCCGGTGTTCATCTTCCTGTGCTAATGAGGTATGGCAACTTGGACTGATGCATATATGTGCCTGGTCCTATGTTGTAGCTGACTGACTGATAACTAATCAGTCAATCATAGTTTAAAGTATTAATAGCATGAATAAATTATCGATTCAGTCACTTTGATCATCATTTGAGTCCGTGTAAAATAGAATATGGTATAAAAGCCTTCCGCTAACCATATCATTAACACCTTTCAATGTCAGTGTTTTTACTTCGAATTCTTCACAACCCTACATTAAAACCAAAGCTTAATAAATAAATACAAAACTAACTTGGTTCTAGCTAAAGAATTAATATTCATCAAAGTAAACAATGCTGGTTGGCGGCCTATGCTCCATTAGGAGTAATAGGCGTAAGTAAAAGTAAAGAAAACAATAAAACATTTTTTTTACTTTTGGAATTCTTATATGACATATTTATCTTTATTTTAGTGTCAAGGCTATGCATGTATAGACAATAGTCAATTAAACACTGAACAGAAATTCTTTATTACTACAAATGTCCTATTTCATGATTTAACCTTATAATGAATATATCCGATCAAAGCAAATGTCAACAATTTTATATAACTGTCATTATTAGTATCAGTAATATAGTAAAATTTTGATTAAATATCTTTTATTTATTGCAAAAAGGTATGTATTTCCTACACAAAAGTATAAAACATTTCTATACATCTGAATAGAATGAATTTATCAGTTATCATTAAAACTATTGTTCTAACAATCTTTGTCACAATAATAAGATATATTTCCGCTGCCGTTTGCTTCAAACGAATATCTACTTGCTTCTCCATTCATTATTGACTACTTTGAAGAGAAATGATTTAGGCACTAGTGAAGAGTAATACTATGTATTGATAAGCGATTATACTGAAATAGTGATAACGCATATTAATTTATCGGTGTATAGGGTTGTGGAGATTGTTGAGTTTAGATTGATATCATGAATGGATCAATGTTAGATCACCATTGAAAACCTGAAAGCACTGGACGGCCGTTTCGTCTAGAGGTTAAGCATTCGCGCACGAGACCGAAGGTCCTAGATTCGAGCCCTGCGTGCGGGATCATGGATGCGCACTGCTGAGGAGTCCTATACTAAGACGGCCGTCCAGTGCTCCCAGGTTTTTAATGGTGGTCTAACATTGATCCATTCATCAATTTAAACATAGTGATTTAATTTGTAAATGATTTTAATCAGTGAATATATGATGATATACTCTTTTATTATCATCCTAACTTACTACATGTTCGCTAAACCTCTTCATTGTATACACCGAAACAATTGATAAACTACATGATACTGTAAACCATATCAATCAGAATCTTAGGAACAGTAAGTACCCCGGTACTAATTTGTATGATTCAAACTTATATGCATTAAGTACAAAACTACAATATTAATAGTATGAAACTGAGTGACTGATTTCTGACTAATTTACTATAATTTAAAGATATATATAATCCTGGGACCATCGAGTAAGTAGTGAAGTTGTTAGAAAACATGCACTAGGTAAGGATGGTAAATCAATTGATGAAGTAGTGAAACTTCATCAGTTGAGATGGCTGGGACACGTGTTACGTATGCCCAACGACCGACTGCCTCGACGTGCGATGTTCAATGGTATAGGAGTAAATTGGAAGAAAGCTAGGGGCTACCAGAGCAAAACATGGCACAAGTCCATGAAGTCACTGACAAGTGAACTGAGTCATATTGGTAGGTGTAGACTACCTGGTTGGGGACCGCGAGATAATAGCAACCGATGGTTAGAGACCCTGAATGACATGGCTCAAAATGGTTTGCAATGGCGCAGGTGCATCCACTCTTTGTGTTCTCCCAAATTTTAATCTTCTGATTCCTCCTTGTCTCTTTCTTATCTTCCCGAATTTATTTCACTGCATTATACTCTTTATATAACATCTCCAAACCCTAATCTTGCCGATTAGTGCTTATACTATTACTACCTCTACCGCTACGGAATTTGAATCGACAACTGCATCTCTGTGTTAAAATGGTGTGGCAACTCGAACTGATGTACGTACGTATGAAGTTCTACGTTGTTACTGACTGGCTGATATATATATATATATATATATATATATATATATATATATATATATTTTTAAATAAAATAAAAAAAAAATAAGAATAATAAATACTTGAATTAATGTTTCATAATAGGATATAGGTCAATAACACTCATAAAAAGTTACAAGATTACGTAGTAAGAAGTGTTCAAATAATTGGACGATGAAGTGTATATTTAAGAAAGAAATAGGGGGGGGGAGATGAGGAACAATAAACAAATTGAATATAGAAAATAATAATCAGTGAAATCTTTGACTGAAGTTATTTCTACCAAGGAAGAGATAAAAGTGTTGCACATTATTATCAGCATATATACTGAGTTCTCAGAGCATAACTTCCAAACTTTGACATTTTCATTGATACTTCCTGACTCAACAAAGTTAATAGGTTAGAAACCTACAATGGACTGCAATTCACTTCAAACTGTTGTATTCGTGATGTGTGGGCGAGAATGATTGTTGTCTCTCTAGTCAGACATGTAGATAGTTGGACAGGTGTCAGATGAGTTATATATTCCCCTATCCTTATTATTATTATGACTCACTTATTATTGGCTATTCATTGTTGTTGGATCGTATTGGGTTTTTAGTGTGGAAATATATTTACGTTGTGGTCAGGCTAATCACGTGTTCTTGATCTGAGTTGTGTTAAAGTCCTGTAGAATAGACAGTGAGGGGGAATCTAGTGTAGATATATGTTTAAGGTAAATTAACGTCCCATACGTGTAAACGTGCAAATCCAACCGTTATAACATCAGACGAAGCAAAACCGAGCGTTATAACAACTCGGTATTAAGATAAAAAATGACCAGGTAGGTAGCGAAGGTTTGAAGTGAAAATTCTTTTTGAAAAATGGTATTCCTTTCTAATCTCAATAATAATGAACTTACAAAGAAAGTATGAATAAACTAACTATCATATAAAGATACTTCTTATGCTTACTAGGGTCATATTATTAGTATAACAATAGCTTGATAATTAAACCAATCAACTTACGATGATTGGATAGGAATTCTCCTCCACCTACTTTGTTTCCAGTGATTGTAAGGTATCAGTCAGTCAGTCCATCGTAATCAACGTAGAATGTGGTACAGATGTATATAGGTTATCGGTATCACATCTCAAACTAGTACAAAGCAATGAAATTAACAGGGTATCAAAGAAGTGGAAGTAGTAGCAGTATCAGTTACAGCAAGACTAAATATATATAGAATTTATTTCGAAAAGAAGGGATGAAATAAAGGAATACAATTTATATACTTGCTTTAAAACTCAAGATTTATGGGGAGATAAAGTAAACCCAACTAAACTACGGTAAATAACTCTAAACCATGTCAACAAATGTTTACAACTACTGACACCAGTTATCTGAAGGGTTTCAAACAAAACGTTTCTATCAACCAAAATACCTCAGAGTAACAGACAATTATTTGTTAAACTGACGGAACATTTTAGTTTGTCCGCAACCAGCTTTTATTCAAAATGATCCCAAGATAGTCATCATTGCACTTTGGGGTAGACAGAAGACGAGCAAATATAATGTATGTCATAGTCATCTTAACCAATGAAGTTGTACAGCTTCACCAATCGATATATCATCATTGCTACCTAGTAAATATGTATCTAACTTCAATACTGCTTATTTGATTGTTTCGAAAAACCCGGATAAAGCTTTGAATGAATCTATGATGCAAATTATCAAACAACTGATACGAAGATGATTTCTTTAATAATATATGAAGTATAATTATTCACTGAATTAATAAATTTTATAAAACATACAATAAAACATATCGTTTCATTCATTTACATGTGTTCGTTTCCTAATACGAGAGAGTAATTCATCTTGATCACGTTTTATACGATCAATCACTTTGACTAAAAGGTTTTCACTAGCCTGTAAAGCTGCTTTAATTTGTTTACAAGTGTTGTTGCTCTCCGTATCCTTTTCCTCCTTTTCTTGTTCATTATTATTATTATTATTATTATTATTATTATTATTATTATTATTATTATTTTCTATAGTCTTCTCCTTATGGTCTTTATTTTGCAATGTTAATAACTGACTTTTCATTAATTCAACGCAGATTTCCAAATCAAATTTAGCTTCATCCATTTTACCTTGATTAAAATAAGATTGAGCACGACGAAATAGTACTTTATGTATATCTTGATAAGATATTTCAAAATTATCCCAATAGAATTGAAGTTTTTCTTGTGAAAATAATGATGTATTAATGATATCTTGATGATAATAATCATTAGTTGATGAATATATAGAAGAATCTATTTGACATGAAAGAAGATATAAAGCATGTGAACAATTTCGAGCACAATATTCATTAGATCCAACTTTCAATTGACATAAAGCAACATTTGAAAGGAGGCTGCGGAAAAAAAACAAACATGAAAAGACAATTAAATATGTTGAATTATTTAAAACCTATCTATGTAAGGAATGAGAGGAACTTCTCATTTTTCATGATTAGGACGTAACGATGTACGTTACGAATGATTTTTTAAAACTAGGTCTGATTTCTGCTATTCATTGAAACATTCAATCCTTTTCATAAACCAATATTATGTAACTAAAACTCGTCATTAGTTATAATTATCTTTGTTTGAAAGTTATTAAATCGATAATCATCATACGCTATAAAACAGTTTTCAGTGTAGAGAATGACTAAGAGTAACTAGGTCCAACTTACCATGATACATCAGCATGGCGTGACGAAATTAATGAAATGAATAACAAAGTTGGAATAATAATGGTGTCAGTGATCATAAGAAAGAAGAAACGCCCATAACATATAGGAAAGAAATGAAACAATGCATGAAGAATTACTGAGAATTAAGATTTAGTTGAAGATAAAAAAAAATGAATGCATCTACGTCATTGCAAATAATTTCGATCCATAACATTCAGAGTCTTCAGCCACTGATCCTGGCCATTAGGTGGATCATATCCACGTAGTCTACGTTTGTCAATACGACTTCGTTCAACGGTTCATGATTTCATGGACTAATGACATTACTTGGTTTGTTTACCTCAAGTTTTCTTCTACCTTACTCTTATGTCAATCAATCAGCGCTTTGAGAGCCCATAACTTATAAAATGGACGTATTATAGAAATAAACACTAAAGGTGTTTTTAAAAAAAGGATAACTGTGCTAAGTATAGTGAAATAATGCAAGTTATTATAATAAGGAATTAATTATTGAATGTGATTAACCTACCAAATAAGGGTTGCTGAGATTGACAACAAGATTTCGGATAGAGAAATGTAAGTTGTTTGACAAATTTGAAGAATTATAACTACAAGAATAGTCGGAATGTGTTACTTTGGTCTAAAGTTGATAGTTTACGTTGATCAGATACCATACTATATTAATGTTATGGTTTAGTAGTTTAAACATCTAAATTTTAACCATTATAAAAGAGGATCAAGTGACAGTCCTCTCACGTAACAAATATATCTCAAAGTCTAGTGCGAAAATACGTACTTATTTATATTCGACTATGAATATGATGTACTGGAATAGAATGACTATTACTTTACTAAAGATAAGGAAATGCTTTAGTAGGGTGGCTTAAACTATTTGTAAAACATAAATGAGTAGTGAACCACTTATTATCAAAAGTAAGACTTTCCAACTCAGTCATTATGTGAACTTTAAAATTTCAGTTCAAATTTCAGTTGGTTTCCCTTTTAGAAGAAAAAAATCATTCTCTTCATGGTGTTAAATAAACTTTGTTGCTATACTAGTGTACAACAGATTACATACTTATTTTCAAATGAAAGCTGATAAGTCAATTAGAAAAACAACGAACTATTTCTTGTACAATAGTGGTGGGTAAATTAAGAAAATAAACTGGTGATAAAGTCATGTTTCTTCATCACTTATTGAGTCTTCATTATTATGATAAATGTGCTTTGTAAATTGAGAATTCACATTTATGAGTATCGAATGATAGTGTTCAATGTTAATCTAGATTAAACAAAATAATATATTTGTCATATAAATGTTTCACAATATTAGCCAAACATTCGATCACAATTTTATTTATACAAAACATCAACTGAATAACCTACAAATGGTTAATGAGTAATAGTAGAATCTAAACAACCGGTGATCTCTGTCCCAAATAACAGAGGTAACTACTAGGCATCTAGATCACTCTTACCTGGTTAACAATACCCAGATATCGAAGTTGGTGATATCTAGCTATTTACATGTTTCATTAATTAATTCATTGGTTTCTAATACTGAGTAAAGTGAACAGAATTACGGACCTGTGTCTTACTGACTTCTGATGAAAGAAATATTAAGTAGTGAAGATTATATTTGATGTTGAACAAGACGATCCCGAGTGCTGTTAAAGGCGATTGTCATACTCCGGTTCCCCATACCGTGGACGGATACTCCTTCTTGAACGATATGAAAAAGTAAACTAGGTTAGGTCGATGCAAATGACTTGAGAGAGTGACCGTAGTGCTCAAGGGAAAACTGCTTGAGGCTGGTTACGCGCCGCCTTTCTGTTAGCTGTTTTACATGTTAGCTATATACTTATAAGGCCTTAGCGCGGAGGATGCAAATCTATGGTTTAAGGTGAGGTGCGAAATATCCATAGACCGACTTTTTATAACCCCTTTCTTCCGATGTGGAAAGACAGTGTCGCCCCAGATGTTGGTTGTCTAGAGGAAACATCTTACCGTCGTCACACCCCTGTACAGTCGAAAGTGTGACTTTGCCATCAAACCATGAAGGCTTCTGATACTAAGCTTTGATTATGATGAAGCTGCAGTTAAGTTTTTAAAACACTCGGTTTTTAACCAGCAAAATCGCAAGATTGAACGGCGTCTTACCTACTTATGTTTAGACAATCGGTTAGTATAACAGGCCTACATAGGGTGAGAGTTGAATTCAAGTAAGTACACCTATACTTCGTAAATGAATTACATCGACTATTAGTTAACTTACGTATTGAGTATGTGAAATTGATCAGCAGCTTATGAATTTAATAAAGTGTCAAAAACTGACTCTAAAAAAGCATCACTTCACAAGTTACGTGAACTGTATACCTCACAAAAAAAGTACAGTCGAACGAAAATCAATCCAAAAACTTACATAAACATCAAGCGTAAAGGTTTACATTGTAATGGAAACACAGTTTTGTGATCAATATCCCCAAAACGATCCCAATCTTTGTAGTCTGAACTGTTCAATTTTTCACCGTTATTACAAGTTATGGATTTTTCACCTGATACCACTTGAATCCAGTGTATATTATTATTTGTGTTAGTTTTATTTTTTGTACAATCATATCCATTTTCGTCAGTTCCCATTGGTAAAACATCATTTACACATGTTTTTTCAGCCCAATAAGCTAATGAAACAAGCTGCAAAGCTCTGGAATAACATGCAAAAGCTGATGACCAAATGTATTTGAATAATTCCTCTCTGTTATTATTACTATTTGAATTGCTCAAGTGTAATGTTACACATTTCAAATGATGATTTACCAACCAAGAACCTCTTTCTTTTAAATACCAAGCTCGATATAACCATTGAATTGTTAAATCAGGATTCCAGTCAACTGTAGTATTTTCTCTTAAATCCGATTCTAATATTTTAGCATTAACATTCATAGTAGGATCGCCACAGATCGGTGGAACAAGTACATAGTCAACGCGTAATGATAGATGATACTCCTAAATGAATAAAATATATGAAAACACTCTAAAAAGTTATCTAATGTCTAACAGCAATAAGAAATAGTTATTAAACGATCATATGAAACATTTCTGCAATTTACCATTCAACTTCTTTTTACTCCGAATAAAACATAATGGTTACTAACAAGTAAATAGTAAACCGAAATACAAACTATATATTAGTCTGTCAAATATACAAAAATGGAGATTATAAAAACTATATTTTACTAAATTCCCATTTATGGCAATACATGTTTTATCTTCGTTCTTGTAGTTCAAAATATCTTTGAAGGTACATGTTAACCATTGCCTTAACACACGTTACGATTTCTAATGATAGGTGTTGTTGTTCGTTCTACTATTATTTAGTAAACATTAATACTTTTATTTAAGGTGTGTGAAACTATATATCCCTCCAAATACAATGTTGTGGAGATGCTGAACTATTTTAATTGCATCTTAGTTACTCGCTATAGACCTGTCTGCTCAAAAAATAGCCAATCCTAACCATTAATGATTTTGACATATATAATGTAGCCCACTGGATTTTTTACTGAGAGAAGAACAGTGGATACTACCTTTTACATGGATGTTCTTAAGATTCCGATTAATTATGTACACTTTACACAACCGAATTTGTGACTTTATTGTATGGCACATCCACTGAGATATTATGCATATACACTCACTAGGGATTGTTCGCGAGTTTCTGGCCTATATTTTGATCAATACACTTGATTATGTTTACCAGAACGAGTCATATTCAATTTCTTTTCATTCCCCAAATACAGTATATCATGAGAGGGCTGCAATGGAACAATGTAACAACTTTAAAATGAGACTATAAAACAATTGGTGAGTTAATATTTCACAACTGACCCGGTTGAATCCACTGGTCACTGCTTCTCACTAAAACTCCAGGATATACCTCTTGAAGTTAGACATTAACACCGCTGGATGCTGGTTCAGCGTTCTGGTGGTCAAGCGCTCGCGTGCGAGACTGATAGGTCCTGGGTTCGGATCCCTCGATGCGGGGCCATGGGTGCGCACTGCTGAGGAGTCCCACAATAGGAAGAAACGGCCGTCCAGTGCTTCCAGGTTTTCCATAGTGGTTTAGCTTAAATTGACTCATGACCTCAACTATTGAAATTACTACAATCTCCACCAAAACCCCTTCAGAAGAATAATTCTTTAAAACATTATGCGTTAATGACATCGAGACATGATTGCATATCAATTAATAAACACTATCTGTAAACCTAAGGCAATTATCATTTTACCATAAGTTTTATACATAAAGATTTGATTTTATTGAGTACAAAAGTAACTAAATTTTCTGGTTAGCCGTGTTGTCACATGATATCAGCTTATTTGTGAAAAAAAGCCTTGAGTTAATATAAGTGGGTTTTGTGAGCAGCTGCTGTTTGATCAGTTTCAACTGATTCAAACAATCTATTTTACAATGAAAAAAAACAAAATATTTCATACAGTCGTTATCCCTTTTTAAGTGGACTAAATAGCCATCAAAAAATAGTAAACTCGTTTCCTTTTCAAGAACATAGGAAAATCATACTTTTCGATGACCAAGGAACATTCACTGAGATATGGATATTAACAAAGTTTCTCATCTTAACCGTTTTAAAACCTATTTAAAATTCCTATCTTTAATCCCTTCCAATATCGACATAATGACATTCCTGCCACTGAACAAATTTGATCTAATAGCCTAGTTGGAAAGGCTTCTAGACATTTAAAGCAAATGAGGTTTGAAAAGATATAACGTCCCCAACTTAAATGGCATATCGTTAGGATAGGTTTGTCTTAAAATTATAGTTACTATTTAGCCTCATTAATTCAAACTGCAGGTGGTTACCTTACTCAAGGAACACACGAAACATTTTGAAAACAAAGTATGGTAACTTCTAAGTAGATCTTTTACGCTGTAATTACACAGAACTGTCAGTTTATTTTCCCATCACAAACAAGCGATCATCTTCAAAATCAGATTCCAAGAAGTGATATTCGTTCAGAAACACATAGTGACATCTTGTTAAATGTTTTTCGTCCCCATCTTTCTGCTATAAATTGCTGCCACTAATCTTATCTCTCCAAAGGTATTTTTTGATCTCCTTTGCATTAAACGAGGTGCTTTGAAGATTCAAAAACCTGGTGATGAGGACTGACATGCACATGCAAAGCACTGAATAATATAAAGTGGACCAAACTGGAACTGGTATAACCTCTTCTGCCATGGTCTTAATGGCTCATAATTTTCTTCATATTTTTCTTCCTTCACAGCCATCAGATATCCCTTCTATCTTCTCTATAGACCTTTTACTCCCAACAGGTTTACTTCTGTTCCTATGATCTTCCTGATTATATTTCATCTCGATTTCAAGATTATATCTTGTAACGCTGGGCCATCCTTTCTCAATTATAATTTCCCCGCTCGAGCACTTAGCAATAAAACTATTATTAGTTTCCCTGAAGAAAAGTTTTAATACCTTTGTTTATTCAACTTCACTGTTACCATATTTAACAGAATTTTATTACCACTAGTGTTTTATTATCATCCTGAATAACATGTATATATATTTGCGATTGTATAGCTTTGAGAATAAATTCCCCGAAAAGAGAAGTCTTCACTGAACCAATTTTCCTTAGCTTAAAATCTGTTTAATCTACTCCGACTGAAGATCCCAACGATAGGGATAATTACATGATAAAGTTTAACTAGAGGTTAATAAACGATTGTCTACACTATAACTACATACGCACATTGAGCACACAATAATATATAACCCTCAAGAAATATGGAAAGTGAGGAAACTTAACACACGTAGCGGAATTATTTACCAATGTATCAACATCCTAACTGTGACCAAATATATTTAGCTATTTACAAATTAGTCAGTATATTATATTCAGTTGAGGCTTGTTTCACACTGCTTTACGACCGAGATATATGACCACAAAAAGCGGAAGATAGAGGTGCTTGATCATGGGTCAAGTGATTCAAGTTGGTTTTTTATGCAAAAATGTTTCCAACCCATTTATCGTGATTACATAGATTCAAAGTTTAACCTGTCTGGACAAGACACTAGTTGAATAATCCAAAATGAACACTGATTAAACACCCACGCATTGTCAAACAAAATTAATATTGATGAGGGGTATTTCTGGACTCCACAAAACAAAATGGATATCGTTAATATGATCCAGATATCAATTCATTATACGGCTCATAGAATTTCGGGAAAGCCAACAAACTGTTGGTAATTCAGGATTGATAAATATGATTGTTTTACATCTGATAAGGATATATTGAAACTACGCAAGTCACAAACTGAGTAAGAAAACTGTCTACTTTATTTGCAAATAATGCACTCTTTAGAATTATTAAAAATTCTTCTTATAATAGGTAAGAAAACATGAGAATATACACAAAAATGAAAACAGAATATAGATTTGGCTCACTGTAGGATCTTTGTGTTTTTCGCCTCTCTCAACGGATTCTATATCTACATTGAACACGTCCCCGGCTGTACAATTAAAGAGGATATTCTCTACCACACTTCTTAAAGAAAGCTGTTTCGAATTTGGCTGGTTTTTAAATTGTGTAGTGTCGGGAGAATTACCCAGAAGAATGCGAAAGCGCGAATTGCTTTTCAGAACAATGGGCTCGCACTGTATATTAAAAAGCGAATGAAGTGGGCAGCATTCTAAATCAAGACCAGATTCGTGACCGTGGTTAAAGTCAATTACTGTACAGAAACATAGAGATCCATCTGTAGCTTTGTAGCACGAGGTCCCAGTATCTGATGTACTATGTTCGAGCTTTTTGATGCGATACATAGCGCACTGAGTGGCCATTGCCTAAACAGAACAAACTTAGTAAACATTTTAGCTGATTTCGTCAAAAAAAGAACACGTTTAGGAACTACGCAATATATTCTATAAAAAATATCGGGATGTACAAAACCAGTAACATATATTACAAATACAGTATCGATAAACTACCAAGTTGTGCTGTTTACACCGTGAGCGCAATCATAAGTGAGTATCCAGGATACCATAAAGCATGCAAAAGCTGTCATTAAACCTTCTTTAATGATCTCCCCATATCCACCATATTCATCCTCATCAACACGTTGATAAATTGCAGCGTATGCATAGACAAAGCATATGTTTGTTACAAAAAACATGAGGATTGCTACAAAACCCGTAAACGAGGCTACACCCCAGACAACACCGACTATAATGGCAAAAACTTGCCTAAACCAATACACGACATCCAAAAAGTCGTTTTTGTCGTCAAATACAGATTGCATCTTCAGCGCCTTGAGAAATATACCATAGTTACTCACAAACTGAGTTTTCGTATTCGCCTATTTTTCATAATTAACAACTCCTTACCAAATGAACATTGCTCACCTTTGAGACCATTTTTTCAATACTCAATATCTTTGTCACGAGCTTGTATAAACTGATAAATTTCTTAGGGCTTGCTTCTTGTTGTTTTGGTACGGTTTCAGGTATTTGGTTATATCCAATGGGTGGTAGTTCAACCACTCGACTCCCGTAATTCCAGTCGGTTTGGACTTGTGTATCTTGTAGTTGAGAAAGTGCGTTTATTTCAAGGCAGTAGGGTTTCTGGATACCAGCAGCTATCACAAAACCAGGTAGGAGGTTAGTTAGTTGCAATGTGAAAATAATTAAGTGATAATTAGAGTGATAATTAGTTTACTTAGTTTACTTAAATGACAATGTGTAAGAAGACGTAGTGTTCGTCCTTCAATGTGCAATCATTCGAGGGTTGCCTCAAGGAGCATTGTGATGATATTCTGGTAATATGATGCTCGTGTTGGGGTGGCTTGAAGAACTTAAAATGCTGTGTGCCATCGTTAGATTAACTCTCCTGTAGCTCAGAGAGAATAATTCCAGGTGCTGAAGTCTGTCCTCGTAAGATTTATGTCTCAGTCCTATCACCTAATTAGTTGCCCATCTCTGTACTTGGTCTAAGAGATTCATACCCCGACAACATTGTGGACTTAAAAGTGGGACCGTGAGTACCTTTAGAACAGTGTTAGGGAGAACTTTGGGGTGACCACTCCAAGTTGTCTCCGCATAAAGTGGAGAGTTATGTTTGCCTTAGCTGCATACCCTGTGTACTTTGAACTAGTGTCTAAGTTCTCTATGGTTGCAAATCCGAGATCACTCTCTGAGTAGAAAATCAGGAGAAAATCTACATTGAGTGTGTGTGTTCTATGTCAAACGAGGCAGAATGTTCATGGTATGACATTCCGATAAATTAAGTTTTAATCTGTTGTCTAATCCTTACTTTACTATAGTTGTAAGGTTCTTTTGAAGCTCGAGTTTTTTTATGGACCTCCAGAGTTTTGCGTCCTCTCCCGAACTAGTTTTATCTAACAGATTGTTAATAAAGACCAAGAACAGAAGTGGACCTAAGATTGTTCCTTGTGAAACTATCTATATTAAGACCTTCCAACTCATCTGCACTCTTACCTTGGTACGAGACATTCTCTAGGTTATTTCGCAGCTAGAACCGTTGCTGCTACTTTGACGTGGTGGTCGGGATCATCTATAATGGTGAACCCATCGAGATATACTGGCTGGAACAATCGTTCCTCAAGGTCCTACCATACCAGACAGGTCGGTTGAAGAACGGTAAGACTAAAAGCAAAAAACCATGGTCCAAGGGCGAAGTCATACTGCTGACTGTACAGAGGTGTGACAGCAGTAAGGTGTTTCCTTCAGAAAACTACCACGACAGAGGGGTGGGGTTAGAAAAGGTCGAACTTAAAAGTGCACACCTCATCTCATTTCACGGATGTCCGTCTCTGACGTTAAGGTCTCAACAAGTACGGAGCTAACACAAAAACTACTCATAAAAGGTCGTGTGTGACCAACCTCAAGCAGTTGTCCCTTGGGCACTGCGCTCATGCTCTCAGGTCACTAAGACCACCTCTAACCCAAACTCCTTTTCAGGTACCTCTAAAAAACCTTCCATGGTATGGGCAACCGGGAAGTAAAAACCACCGACATACCTCTAACAGCACTCAAAATCACTGTATTCATAATCAATCTCCTTCTTCAATTCCTATTATTCCTCCTGCCTCGGCTTTCAACTCGAAACTCCCTCTTTTGGCTTCCCCCTCAAGTGTCACCATAGCCAACGATTTTAGAGCTCAAAACACTGTCCCAGGTCTACTGAAACCTCGCTCCAAACTACACACCGGAGTCTTCAACGTATGCACCCAATGTCAAAACGGCCAGCAGGCCTCCTTGGCTAGGACCCTAGAATCTTGTACCATTGATGTATGCTGTGTCTCCGAAACACACACAAGACCCTAGTGTAGTTATTCCCTTGACCTCACCGCGCCAAAACGGGGAGCCGACGAGATACACCCTCCGTGTATCTGGCGGCCGTAGGCGTAGCACTAAGCACGAGGGCAGAACAAGAACTATTAGAATGAATCCCCGTCAATAGTCGCCTATGTGCTGTTCGGTTAAACGGCTCCGTAAGAACTCGAAGAGATAGAGACACTCGTTGCTTTTCCGACGTTCATGCCTACGCTCCCAGTGACTGAAGCCCGGACGAAGCGAAAGATCAACTTTACAGAATGCCTTCTGAACCTGTTCAGAAAGCTAAACGCTCAGACGTAGTACTAGTAGCAGATGACTTTAATGCCCAGGTAGTTGGCTTGAACCAAGCAGAAAGACATTTAGGTGGGAATTTTGATATTCCGGCTCAGCGAACAAATAATGGTGATCGTCTGCCGCAACTGTGCTCCGACAATCGTTTATTTTTAGCAAAGAATAATTTTAAGCATAAGGATGAAGATTGTCTAACATGGCGACCTTCTGCACCAAACCAACGATGGACTCAAATAGACCATATTGCCATCAGTCATCGTTGGAGGGGCTCTATAGAAGACTTCCACTCGTTCTGGAGTACGTGTTTAGACTCTAGTCATGCTTTAATACGAGCATGCATTTGCTTGCACCTCACTGGACGCAGAAAAACCACGTTAAGAGGCCCATTAGAGTTGAACTCAGTGACGAGAAAGCCGAAAGCAGATCCTAGGAACGACTGAGGTAAAACTTAGGTATTTCTGGAAACGAGGCTGACCCAGATATTGATTGGAAAGATATACAAACAGCTGTAGGAACAGTAGCGATATCTATCAGTGATTTGAACCAAAGAGTTATGGAAAACCAATGGATTTCTACTAAGTCTATTGCACTGATGGATTCTCGTAAATTCATTCCATCAGGCTTTGAACACGATGAATAACGACAACAAATCAGATCTAGGTTAAGCAAAAGTCTATGGAACGACCGTGAGCAGTGGTGGGCAACGAAAGCAAAAAAAGATAGAAAAGGCGGCGGCTATAGGTAACGCAAGACAGCTCTACAGACTAATAAAAGAAACTGGAATTAATAAGTCAAGTGTACGTGAGACGATCTCGCAAAAAAGACGACAATATTATCTGCTCTCAGCCCATACGTTTAGAACGATGGGCGGAACACTAAGGGACAGTTCAGCTGGCCTTCAACTACTCTAAAACTACCCATCATTTCCAAACAGCTTGAATGGAACGTTGAAGTAGGACTCCCGACTCCAATTGAAGTTCACAAAACTATAGCAATCTGAAAAAAGGAAGAGCAGCTGGCCCAGATGGATTAGCTCCAGAGATCTTAAAGGATGGTGGTCCAGTTTTAGCGATTAGTTTGACTAGTATTTTAGCTCAAATATGGGAACTGGATGTAATCCCATCTGACTGGTCATAATCACTTATTGTCCCAACATATAAGGGGTCAAAATCATCACGTGATAACCATAGAGGGATTAGCTTAACTAATATAGTATCTAAAATACTAGCCTCGATAATTGTCAGACGCCTAACTAAGACTCGTGAACTGCAAACACGAGAGAATCAAGCTGGCTTCAGACCTGGTCGTGGCTGCATCGACCACATGTTCATCATTCGTCAGGTCCTAGATAACAGGCATGCTTATCGGCGTCCGACAACGGTCTTTCTTAACTTAAAAGCAGCATTTGACTCGGTAGACCGCGAGATTCTGTGGCAGTCTGTCATTTAAAGATGTACCTCAGAAGTACATAAACCTTGCGAATGCTCTTTACTCGAACACTATTAATCCGTCAAAGATTATGGCGAACTGTCCTCTGATTTTGCAACCTCAAGTAGTGTCTGGCAAGGCTATCCGCTATCTGTTTAATTTCATCATAGACCTACTGCTGGAAATAACGCTCTTGTCAACTGAATTTTCGGACATCGACGTCCTATCAGGTTCACTTGTTGACTTAGAATACACAGATGGCAGTCCTGTTTGTTGAAAATCCTATCCTCAGTCCAGGTGTGGACGCAGGTAAACCCTCAAGCAACGATTTGCATTCAGAGGGAGGAAATGCATGTAAAACATCCTGGCACTGTTGCTCAGTGATGCCGAAAGACTGCATCTTATCAGGGTTCAGTGAGGCTATAATTTATGGACGACATTAGAGAGGAGACAACGTGACCTTCAGAATGTCCATCTATTACATAAGACAAAATGATGGTTATAGCAAGTGAGTTGTATGAAAATTAGGATTTACAGTTGATGGTCAGGGGTTAGATTTAGGGTTTTCGTCACGAACTGAATCCAGCTAAAGTGCCAAAACCCTATTTGACGAAATAAATAAATGACCTTTGTGTCAAAACAAAAGACCTTTTACCTTTTATCCGATGGGTTTGTCCAAAAACTATAATATTAAACTAAAGTGAAACAACTTAGAGAGGCACCCGAGACAAGTTTCAAAAGAGAAAAATAATAAAGATAGATGGTTGCATGGTATATGAGAAAATGATCTAACAGACACTCAAAATTGCAGTTACCTTTGACCGTCCTAGAAAAGCAACTTTGCGTGGATCCACTAGCTTATCCACAAGTCCCACGTTTTTAAGGAAGTGAAAGTATATTACAGTTGGAGCAATTATGAAGATAGAGGTTGACCGAGACGACAGGACCTATCGCGCAGGTTATAGGCGAAAGCCCAACAAGACTGCCTGAAGACTGTTACGCCAAACTCGAACAGCGCGCGTCTGTAGACGTTCACAACCTTACGTTATTAGCCTGAATAACCATAGATAGAAATTTAAGTACTGTTGTTTAATAATCTGTTTTTGGATAACAATAATAATAATAGCTGATTTGCCACACGTCAAAACAAGAGGTCTAGAGCATGTTGTCCACGGATGAACTGATGTTCAGAGAACTAATGGTTCAAGTGGTTCAAATGGTTGTGGACGGAATAGAAGAAGCTTTCGCTTAACAAGCTTCCGTGTATAGTAGCAGGGGATCACCAAATCCTCCAGGCAGGAACCTAGGTATGTTAACAATAAAAGAGGAAAAAGAAATTGGTAAATCATAGTATGACGCTGTCCTTGGTCTGTAGTGACTCACATTTATCACGAGAACACGACTGGTTTAATAAAAATAATTATTATTATAACCAACTGTACCAGTGCTTGTTTTAATGTGCTTTTGTTTGACTGTGCTAATTATAGCCATTTTGTGCTTCCATTACCTTCCATCATTGTTCCGCTGTTTTTGGTACTGTTCGTACGTACTCCTGTCTTCTGCCTCCACTTGTACCATTCCTTGACACGATCTCGGTATTCGTTCAATACCACGAGATCGCCAACGAAATAAATCTGGTTACGTCCAACCTCCGCCTTATGATTTACCTGGCACGTGTTTCTTGGTAGCGGTGTTCATAGTTAATCTCAACTCGACGCCACGCTACGGTTGGTGATCCCAAAGTTTGGAACACGCCTCAACTTCTGGTCAAATCTTCCAAAGAAGCCAATTCGGTGAGTCTATGATTTATCTATCCACGTCTGTCGTATATTTTCATATTTTTTAATATATAATATTCGCGACATGACGGATAACGATAAGAATAGTATTAATGTAATAGACTCACATGTATGTGTACCGAATCCTTGTCACTTATTATTCGTGTGACGATGAATTCCACGCTTTATTCGAGAAATTTTCCCCTATGAACTATTCTCCTCGCTGACCCGGCTGCTTGGTACGGAATGCATTCGCATAAGCATTAACGTCTACCTCCCAGCATCAAATGGTTAAGTTGAACGGTTTCACTGCCAACTTAAAAGTGCTCTACGAGCACACGAGAACGACAACTGGTACGAAACCTTATCGCTCGTCCCCTTAGGTATTCGAACGAGCTTGAAGGCAGATATACAATGTTCCGCCGCCGAACTGGTATACGGCACGACATTGCGTCTGCCCGGAGAATTCTTCACACCACGGAGCAGACCTAATTTCGGTGAATCAGACTACGTCCATCGACTGTCTGCATTTATGCGAACGCTGTCTCCGGTGTCAACTCGAATACAACATCGACAGGTCGCTCTCTCTCGAAAGTTATCTACCTGTTCACATGTTTTTGTACGAGTAGATTCGGTACGCAAACCTTGGCAACAACCTTACAAAGGCCCTTTTCACGTGATCGCTCGTCACGAAAAGACCTTCAAGGTTGATCGATATGGACGCGTCGAGATCGTCAGCATTGATCGTCTCAAACCAGCACACGTCGATGACAGTGCCCTATCTGATAACCTGAGATTCAACGCTAGACCTAGCAAACCTACTAGCGGGATCCTCAAACCATCTTCAGGTCCCACGCTAGATACATCTGAGACCTCATTCTCACGTCCCGGCCAACAGCACGCGTCATCTGCACCGTCTACGGACGAGACGACAGTCTCACGTCCAGATCAGCAGACCACGCCGCCCCTGACCTCGGATGAGATTGCAGGCTCACGCGATGCGAACGAGACTGCCGTCTCACGTTCCGGTCGCCGAGTACGGTTGCCCGTACGCTTCCGCGACTAGCCGCACAGTTAACAAACGATACGGTGTAGGGTTATTCCTATACTACACGCATGCTACACTCTTCTCTTTTTTGATTTTCTTTTTGTTTCCTGAGTCCATGCCTTCGGCCATCTCCGTTTGGTTCCATCGACTTCAGTCAACTTTGGCGA